CTTACAAGACTACGTCATGTTGATTTATGTATCGAAGCATCTAAACCCATTTAGATGTCTATGAATCTTCCCCAGGCTTTTCTCCCATTTGCACCTCATTCAAATGATCCAAAGATAGTGATGTGGGCCACCTAAGCTTACTCCTTTTGATGTAGAGAAACAGAAACCCTATTGTCTTTAAAGGTGAGCTTAGTCATCTAAAGAGAAAAAAGCTTTATTAAGCCATTTGACTAGGATCTCATTTTTGATCCTAGTCAAATGGCATGAACCATAACTCACTGGGAATGAGAATATTTATTTTAAACTGTTTGTGAAACAAGTAGAGTCCTCTGATTGTTCAGGGGACTGGTGAAAAACATGAACCAGAAGCAGTTGGACATAATTCTCTGATGCAAATGCTAACTTGTTGAATTTAGAGTTTTGATCTCAGCAGCAACTTACATACCCAAATATTTATATAGCGCTATACACAGAGGGGATAAAAATATTTTAAGTCTATATGTTTTCAAAAATGATGAGATAAATTCAGTTTTCTCACAGAAAGGATACCTACGGAAGGAATGATCATGTGAAAAGTTAATTTCCACTTCAAGGATGCAGTGAAATATCATACCAGTGACAGCTGTCAGTTGTACTCCACTGTTTCTGACGTTCTCAAATACAGAGAAGAGAGTGAATGTGTATCTGGTTCCAGCAGTGAGAAAAGAGACTGTGTAGTTCACTGGTCCATCTCCATCTGGTGCAGTGATGTTTGTCTCTGTGCCGTTAAACTGCAGAATAAAGCTGCTGCTGCTGCTGTTGTTGATCTTGTTCCACTGCAGAGTGATGCTGCTCTCATCTTGGGTCAATAGGCTGAATGGTTGAGGTTCTAACACAGATAGTTACAATATGTATTGGCATATATAATTCCTAATTACTTATAGGTAATTGAAATGTACAATACTACCTGTACAATATGCCAGAGTGCAGGAAGATGGCTGTTGAAGTTTGTAGATGTAGTATCCAGAACAAAGTTTGACCTGGATGGTGCTGGAGGCAAAATGGCAGCAGGAACCCGACCAAGAGTTACACACACTGCGAGTTACGATTTCATTAAGCTGAACTGGATGAGCCCCGTTTATCCATAAAGAAATATTAGTTCCACATCTTCTTTCTGCTACACATTTCTCTGGAATCTGAGCGCTGGTCTGACCCAAATAAAAGCGATACCATCCACTCCAGACAATGTTTTGGTCACAGTGTATGATTGTTTGGTCTGTATTCTCTGTTGAACGCCAGGCATCGTTCACCACAGTGTAAGTGGCACAGGGGTCAATGCATTGAACAACTCCATTGGTGGTGATGCACTCTGTGCCAGAAGCACAACAATCACAGCCGGAACAAGAAGCTTCAAATATAACAAGTGGGGCAAAGCAGAAGATAAACACTATTAGGCAGAAAATACTTTTTTTATTTTGACATATTGTCAGATTTTGATATCTTCCTATTCTTATTACTAACTGTAAAGACACATCCTGAGATGTACATGTTACAATTCAATTGCTGCCTATTTTTCTACAGAGACTTAACAAGTCCTACTATGGACAAAGATCAGAAAGCTCTCACTCCATATCAGCTTGAAATTGTTGCTCCTGTTAGGTTTAAGAAACTACACTGCAAAAAAAAACCTCATTTTAAGAAATATAATGAGCAAACTTTTTTTTTTTTTTACTTTGCTGTCATTCAAAGGAGACTTGTGTTTAAGTAGTTGCTACAAAGCAGGTTTTAGAGTAAATTAAATGAGAAAATTATTCCCAAAACCTTTTCTCAACTCTGGTCTGGGATCTCTTGAAATGTCTCATAATTTCTGTCTGATATGCTGATATGCCTCCTTCTATGATCAATCAAGAGACTGCCGACACATTCTGGTGTGAAAAAGTCTCTCATAATAAAATGTAAAGTCTTACCAGAAACCACAGAGTCTAATGAAGTTATTTGGAGAAAAACTGCCATCAAAACAGAAACAAAATATGAACACAGCCAATCAACACAATGCGCTCTATTAAAAAAAAAAAAAAAAAATTAAACAAAAGTAGGTATGCAGTTGAAACTAGATATTTACATATAGTCTATTAAAAACTGTTTGTTACATGTCAGGGTAATGAGGGAGATAATTTTTTTATGACTAGTCAAGTTAACTAAGATTAGTATTCCTTGAAACTGTTAGAAAAACTCAGAGGAGGACGTCATTGATCAGAGTTAAATGGAGGTGAACCAGTAGATGTAATTTAAACTCACCACTTAAATTTATCTGTGTGGTTTCAAGAGTAATCCTAGTAAATGGTATGGAAATACATGCAGACATCCAAACTTGATGACAATTTCAGAAAAAAAACTTAAGGAATTATAAAATGAATGCAAGAATGTCAAGAAAAAAGATTGAGAAGGCAGAATAAGAAAACAACAAACACAAACCTGTGAGCCCAAACAGGATCAGTCTGTAATCCATCAGTGAAAGCTTGAGATAAAGTATCCAGATAATTTCTAAATCCAAACTCTAAATGCACTTCATTACATAAGCAAGCAGATGATAAGCTTCAAAGACGCTAGACACTCCTAAAAGCTTGTGGTTCTCCGCATTTTAAATGGATCATAGATGGGTGTGGCATTCATGGGAGAGATGCATCTGCCTCCAGGATATATGAAAATATAAGAATGAGGAAATGATGAAATCAGAGCATCATGAAAATTACTACCGTTTAACATTTCTAGAGTCCATCGAAGGTGAAGCTGCAATATTAGGTCAGTTTCATTTCCAACATTACAGTTTGAGACTGAAAGTCAAGTGTCTGACCAGGAGGCCAGCAGTTTCGGAGAACCACTGATCATCTCTTTTTACTCTAAACATGTCAGACTACCAGTAAAAGTCGAGTACTTTCTAGAAATACTCAGTTTTCAAGGTGTATAAGCAGATTATCTTTTTACCTTCAATCAGTTGTAGTAAAGCTTTATTTATATGTTAAACCATACCCTAAAATTATTCTTTACAACCTTGATTTATATTGACAAATACACGTATTATGTTTTATTCCTTTCATTTCCCCGTCTGTTTGTTTTTCACATTAAATGCAGTTGTGCTGTTCTCATTCTTGCAAAAATAAATAAAATCTGTTTGAGTTAAAACGCCCACCTGAGTGACAGTTAGAGGAAACTAATTTTTCCTTTTCATTTAATTTTTCCTTTATCAGTATTCTATACTACAGTTAGATCATCTAAAGCTATTAAAGATGGGGCATGTAACTTTTCTAAAACAATGTTTTATATATATTTGGTAAAACTATCACTGTGTCCTCACAGTGTAATATGAGAGATAATCTTCAGCATGCCATCAAGTTTAACAAAGGCCTGGTAACGAGAAATTAATTTGTTTCAGTTGTTTGAGAAAGTATTTAAGACCTTGCTCAAACAAGGTTTTAAATACAGGAGAGTAACTCTTAAGGACTATTATAACAGGAGAAGCCTGTTATAATGCATGAAGTTACTAGTTAATACATTAACTATATAAATATAGTTAATATTAAATATATTAACTTTTATTAAGTTAATAAAAGGACTTTGTGTGAGTATTGTTTTGTTTTAGTGGTTGCTTTTTATAGAACAGGAGAGACAGTCAGGCTCCCAATAATCAAATTAATTCAAAGGAGTCAGGCTGGACACTGAATGCGGTTTTATTGCAGCTTGTGGTTTCCTCTCTTATCTGAGATGCTGCAGCTGAAAGTTTTCATGATGTAAATTCAAACCTACACCACATGAAGCCTAACACTGTCAGTACGGTACTCTGTTTTGCACCAGACAAACACAGAACTTTATATTTTGTTGTGCACTTTCCATCACCTCCCGAATATAGATAACACAAAATATAAACAACTCACCAGTAACAGCTGTAAGTTGTTCTCCACTGCTTCTGACATTATCAACTACAGAGAAGAGACTGAAAGTGAATTTGGTGCCAGGATTCTGGGATGAGGCTGAGTAAGTTACTGATCCATCTCCACCAGGAGCATCAATGAATGTCTTCATTTAAACTGGAGAGAATAAACTCAGAGTTGTTGTTGACTTTATTCCTCTGCACATAGATTCTGGTCTCATCTTGTGGCACTAAGACACAGAATTACTAAACTGTAATGTAGTTTTACGCTTTCCAAATTGTTTTGTTTCTTTATGCTGTTTTTATTCTTCGTGACAAATAAGCACTGAATCTATATTCACCAACATCATCATGGCATTTTCCTGCAAACAGTGATGACAAGAGCTCACACAGGACTCAAATAGTTTAATTACTGAACTACAACATGAACTGAGGTTGTGGTTGAAGGTGACATGGTTGCTCTGAAAGGCAGCAGTGATTTATAATGAGTAACAAGGTTCTCTGCCAAGATGGCATCATGTTTTGTCTTGCATATCTGGATATTTAGTTAGTGTGAAAAGCAGATATTTGTTCTGGCTCTGCAGTCCAAATTAAAGTTTTTGGTTGTCTAATACCCCATAATGCTCTTGCTATCCCAATCCTGCCACTGATTAGTTCATCAGCATTTCGTGACATTTTCTGTCACTGGAAGAGCACATTGAGCACAAGAGACCAGTTGAGATTCAGACACAACCAGAAAAACCCACCAAAATGCCTTGTTCAACTGGATCAGCCCCAGCCAGGCCTAAACATTTTATTGTAAGTGTATTTATTTCAGTCCTGATCCTGAATAAATCTTTATCCTGAGAAAGTCCTGTGTAGGTAGAAACAGTTCCAGATCTAAAATGGAAGAAGACCCAGAGGAGATGAATGAAGGTCTTTGTGTTTCTAAAAAGCCCTTTCAGTCAGAAGCAGTCAGACAGGAAAGACCAGACAGAGGTACTATATTTTTCCTCATAAAACTCAGCTGTACTCTTTTTGCTACAACTGGCATTTATCTGATATGCAAAATCAAAATGTCCAATGCAGAAATTTAAGTAGAGACAGTACGTTGATGCTTGCAGTTATTTAAGGTAAACTTAACATTCTCAGCTTGGTCACAGCCACAGAAGATTAATCTTTTGTTAAAGTAGGTGTGGCAATGATAAACTGAAACATCTCAAAAGTAGACACTGTAAACTCAACTTCACTGCTGCTGATGCTGTCGGTTACAGAGAAGAGACTGTGTAGTTCACTGGTCCATCTCCATCTGGTGCTCTGATGTTTGTGTCTGTGCCGTTAAACTGGAGAACAAAGCTGGTGTTGATTTTATTCCACTGCAGAGAGATGCTGCTCTCATCTTGTGTTGCTGGTTTGAAACTTCTTTCAACTGAGGTTTGGAACTGAGGAAAAAAGACAACTAAGCTTGAGGAATAAATCTCATTCTTTTAATTACTTTGGGAAATAACTGATTGTTCAGTCTCACATTTATTTAATTTTTAGTGACGTCTGTCAGAGACAGAGATGTCTGTAAAACATTCTCAGTTAAAACTTCATTTGCAGCTCAAACTTGATCTGGATACATCATTTGGTTTGTAACAGATGAACAGAGTTTGCATCGTGCTATTTTCTAGATTCACAAAAGTATGACTCTAAACACTTTATCGCCGTGGCCTGGCTGACCATCCACTCAGTTTCAAAATAAAGAGGTGCTGCCAGCAGACCAGAGTTTTTCCTGATGCAGACCGATCCATAGAAATGATTCACTGCATCAATTTGAGAAGAGCTCATTCTCTCTCTGACTGCAAACACTGTGATGTTGATGCTAAAGATGTTAATATGCAAGTTCTATGGATATTTTGGCTATAACTTTTAATGGTATTAATTATAACAATTTTCTATTACATATATATGTATTTTTACATTTTCAGTTTCAATTCACAATTATTCTTATCACAAACATCCTAAATGTTTTCATTGTTAATTCAACCATCCACCATCATCATTCCTGTGTTACTCCAGTGTTTTTCTGACTGCATGTTAGTTTCGTTTCCTGCACAGGGAAACTCCCTGCATGGGGAAACTCCCTATGCAGAGCAGAAAATTAGAATATCGGACATGTAACCATAATCTGAAAGGAGATCATAAGGTTTAGCTGGTGAAGATCCCTCTAGTGTTCAAGTGCGGTATTGAAGTTTTGTAAGTGCACTTTATAAAAAAACAAAAAAATTTTTTCAAACATATTAACCACCATACATGTTTAAAAGATATTAAAACGGACTATATAAAATTACAGGAAATAAAGTTTTTTCATAGTGAGTGAATGTTTGGAGTGAAGATTCAGACAACATTGACATTTCACATTCTGATGTTCAAATATCAAACATTTGACTTTCACTTGCGAGCTGGGTAATTTTATTTAAACAGCACATTTTCAGCAACAAGGCAATTCAAAGTGCTTTACATGAGTTAGAAAGAAATACAAACAAAATAACAAACCAACAAAAAGGCTACATATTTTTATGGCAGCAGATCCAATATCTGTGTCATTCCCTAAGCACTGGAAGTAAAGGACGAGTGCAAACCGTGAATTTAACTAAAAATTCTTTATCTATATAAAAATGCAAATATAAAAATGATGATAAATCAGTTTTATAATTCCTTTTTCCTTCTTTCCAAAAACTTTCTTTCTACACGGTCAAAAACTGTTTTGAGCCGTATCTAAGCAATCTGTCAATGGTTTTTCTAATACAATATACGGCCCGACAGGAAGTAAGCCTTTCAAAATAAAACTAAATTTCACAATAAAATTGGCCTGAACAAATATCAATCTTAACTAAAAATGATCAAATAAACAAACCATCATTCAAATAACTTAAATATTTCCTATTTATGGCTCTAACATATTTGTTCCCCATGTTTAAGAATAAGTGGCCTGCAATTTATAAATTAGTAGAGGGGTTTCTCTGGATTGTTGTTCCGATAATGTGGATCTTAGGTAGTAAGGGACAGTAGAAATGAGCCCTAATCCAACCTGGCCCAGATTACATTTTAAAAAGTTTGAGAAAGTATTTTTTTTCCTATTTTCATGTAAATTCATCCAGTTGATTCAGATATTCAAGTTAATTCTTTCCCCATTACCATGAAGACTTACTGTATTTATATGGTTATAAATCTGTATTTAAAAGTTTAGTGACTAGAGAAGCAACATGGAGTCACATTGACCTGAGATTTACTTTTTTATGCTTTTGCTTTGTCTTGCTTGCCAGCCTAGTTTTGTGTATACTATCACACACCTAGGTTTTTTTTTCAAGCTTCTGCATCCAAATTTCAATATTTCTTCCAAAAGATTTTTTTTCAATACAAGTAAACAATTTATAGATCCCCAAAACTTTATTTAGAGGCAAAAAATAGAAGAATGCACACATATGATTCATGCAAATACAAGAAAACCTTAGCTCAGGTCTTAATCAACAAAAAGAGATTAAAATATTACGCAAAAGAAAGTCAATTCTGGAAAACATTACAATTGAAATTAGTAACAAACCACGTTATTTCAGGGAAAGGAAACAACGTTACAGATGAATTATCCAGAAGGTTTGGAAGAAATGATTTTCAGAGTAAACTGTGGTGGCAGATTATATTTTCTGAAGAGCTGGATTGAAAAAGACACATATGAGTCAAAGGTTAAAAATAGACACAAATAGACATAAAATAAAATCTAAATAGATATTAGCTCACCTCTATCAAAGCATCTTCCATCTCTGATTCTGACATTTCTCCAAGAAGCTCCAACTTCAAATTCAATCCCAAAACATAATCTGTTAACAAAAATTAGACATTTATAATTCATGGAAATAAGATAAATCTATTAAGTTGCAGATTATTAAAGAATAATGCAATAACTGTTTTCAAATAAAATATAAATATTTGAAATGTCTACATTTTCATATAATACAAAAGTAATTATCCAAATAGAAAAAAAAAAAAAAGAAAAATAATGTTATTTACTCACTTGGACCTGTTTGTTGGTCAATGAAGTTTTGTTGACATGAAAAAAAAAACATATTGGGTTCATTTAATTTTCTATCAGTCATTTTTTGTAATTTCAAAATTAACTTATCCACAATACACCTAAAATCAAACAACAACAACAACAACATTAAGACATAATACATATCTTCCTTTTGGATTATCTTTCATATATTCAGATAATTCACAAAGGATTCCAGTTAAATTCAAGCCATTAAACAACTGAAACTTTGAGTTTATGGGAAAAATAACGTAACTTGATGCACACCATGAAGTATGCAACAGATTTACGTATCTTACCAGTAGCTGAAAGTATGCTGACTCCACTGCTTCTGGCATTTTCAAACACAGAGAACAGGGTGAATGTGTAGTTTGTACGAGCGGTCAGAGATGTGACTGTGTGTTTCATTGGTCCGTCTCCATCTGGTGCTCTGATGTTTGTCTCTGTGCCGTTAAACTGCAGAACAAAGCTGGTGTTGATGCCGACTTTATTCCATCGCAGAGTGATGCTGGTCTCATCTTGTTCTGATGCTCTGAAGCCCTCTGCGTTTGCTGGAACTGAAACAAAAGAGGAAAAATTTATATAACTTCATGTCTTCAAAGTCTTTATTGTCCAAAAGATAAAATGTACAAACAATATTGTGATGGTTAAGATATACGTCTCATAACCTTAAGCCAAATAATTCTACTGGGAACAAATCCAAATCAAGCAGCAATATTTTAGCAATAAAATTCTAATATAAGAAGCCAAAGTAAAACAAAAGGTTCGAGTTAGTTAAAATATTTGTCACGATGTTGCGGTGTATGGTGGTGAGGAAGACGCTGGTGGACCCAGGTTGAAGATGAATGATGACTTTAATGACAAAAAAAACAGCTCAAACGGTCCAAAGCACAGGCAACACAGTGAAGCTAATGCTAGTCATTGGTAGCAACTGATCATAAACATGACTGAGACGAGAGATACGCTGACACAGGACAGGAAACGACGGTTCGACTGTGACGATTAAGTGACATAATACAACAACGTTAGACAAGGACCCAACAAAGACACAGAGACACGGGTGGTATTAAATACTCAGCGGTAATCACAGAACGAGACACACCTGGGAACAATCAGGGTCAGACAGGACAACACAGAGACTCCACAGAGACTCCACAGAACACAGCAAACTAAAGAAACACACAAGAAAAAAAAAAACAATCCCGGTAATATCAGTTGATTTTGAGATTTGCTGTCTGAGTGAAGATAGTTTGATAATTTTTTTAAGGTTAAATTGGCTTTAGTGGCCTTTATTTGAGAATGATCAGACTGGAAAGTGGGTAATGAGAAAAGAGGAAGACATCCAGCAAAGGTCAGCCATTTTTAATTTCTTCTATCTCAAAAAGTCACAGAAGAAGGTTCAAATGAATTATTTTTACCCTTGAACAAATTAATGTTCTGGCCCATATGTTACTTCCTCATTGCATGTGGCATTAGACAATATAGTCCCATAAAAAGTAAGACGCCCCACTAGTGTTTTCATACCTTAGCCCTTGTGTCCATAAGAAATAAAGCATTTATCCACATCAGCTTGGTACCATGATTTAATTCAAAGCTGCATATTTTAATGCACATCTCTTGGAACTTGGAGAGAAAATGTCATTCTGTGCATCTACAAATGTCCTACTTAATCTGAAAAAATAGGTTACTGTTGTTGTTTCGCCAGTCAAAAACATCATACCTTTCATCATTAATGGAAGACAATAAACATAGTCTGAGGTTTTGTTTCAGCACAGTTGTCAAACTTACACCATTAATACTTTCAGTTAATACTGACTGGATAAATCTTGTAGAAAAAATCCAAATATTTGATTTATCTCAGGGTAAAGTATGTTTTCCCATTAATTTGAGGTTTGGGTTTATTTTTAAGTGTGACGTTCTCAGGTTTGGATCATTGATGGTTCAACCCGAAAACTTGTTTGCCTTGGTTGTGAATAAATTAATGTACTTTATATTCTTACCAGTGACAGCAGTAAGTTGTACTCCACTGCTTCTGACGTTCTCAAACACAGAGTAGAGAGTGAATGTGTATCTGGTTCCAGCAGTGAGAAAAGAGACTGTGTGAGTTACTGGTCCATCTCCATCTGGTGAACTGATGAATGTCTGTATGCCGTTAAACTGGAGAACAAAGCTGGTGCTGTTGTTGATTTTGTTCCACTGCAGAGTGATGCTGCTCTCATCCTGATCTGACACTGTCAATCCTTCTGCATTTTCAGGTGCTGAGACAAAAGAGTTAAGACACGTCAATTCGTTTCTTCCGAACCTTTATACTGAAAAAAGTAGCATTTAAAAACAATATTAGGATGATGATACAACAAGCTCAATGTGCACCTTTAAATCTAAGATCTAGCACGTTTTAAAAAGGTTTATTCGGAAAATATAAACTACTCCTAGTAATCAAGCATTGTTTCATTTATTTTACCAGTAGCTGCTGCAATGCTGATTCCACTGCTGGTCAAATTTTCAAGCACAGAAATTAGAGTGAATGTGTATCTGGTTCCAGCAGTGAGAGATGACACTGTGTGAGTTACTGGTCCATCTCCATCTGGTGACCTGATGAATGTCTCTGATCCATTAAACTGGAGAACAAAGCTGGTGATGTCGTTGATTTTATTCCACTGCAGAGTGATGCTGCTCTCATCTTCTGACGATGGTCGGAAGTTTTGTGCATTTGAAGGAACTGAGGGAATGAAAACAGCAGGGAAAATAAGGCAAAAAATATTTGTGCCATTTCATAACTTCTAACCTAATGTCAAAAATGACTAAAATTAACTTATTAAAATTAGAACTTATTAAAATAAACAAATATGTCCTGCAGCAGAATTGTAAAGAATATTATTAGTCTGAAATTAAATACAATTTGCAAAGGTAAGTATGGTACATATAAATTGTATGAATAAAAACTCCTGATATGCTTGTCCACTCAAGAGAAGATGTTCTATAGCTCTGTATTTACTACGTGATTTTTGCTATTTACCAAACTGCCTGCAACTCTTTAAATACCAATTTATCAGTAGAGCTTTTTTTTATTTATCTCAACACAAGCAGGAGTAATGTACAAGAGATGAAAAGTTGAAAGTTAAAGTTTAACATATTACAATTATATCTTACCAGTGACCACAGCAATGCTGACTCCACTGCTTCTGACGTTCTCAAACACAGAGAAGAGAGTGAATGTGTATCTGGTTCCAGCAGTGAGAGATGATACTGTGTAGTTCACTGGTCCATCTCCATCTGGTGAACTGATGAATGTCTCGACGCCGTCATACTGGAGAACAAAGCTGGTGCTGTTGTTGATCTTATTCCACTGCAGGGTGATGCTGCTCTCATCTTGATCTAACTTTATAAATCCTTCTGTGTTTCGAGGAGCTGATTTTTAAAAAAAGGAGATGTTCAGATTTTGGCAGTTGGGTTTGCATGTCTTTGAGTAGCCAGGATCTTAGCTGTAGCTTACAAAAAAACATGTCCAGGTTAATTAAACAAACAAAGAGCAAGAGGAATATATGATAGATCATCTCTGTCATTTACATTTTAAACATCGTTGCATCTTTTCACTTTACAAAACTACATCATGTTGCTTCCAAACATCTATATAATCTGTCCAGATATCCACATCGTTCAGGTCAACTAAACAAAGTGACACAGGAGACAAACTAATCAGAATCTGAACCCATAAGCTGACAGCTTTTGGTGCAGAGAAGCACCAAAAGAAGTCCTTTACACTGTCCTGTATGTAAAGGTGAGCTTAGTCAAAACTGATTAATCTGTTTATACTGGGATCTAATTTTTGTAATCATAGTTCATATTTCACAGGGAATGGTTAAAACTTGGAAAGGCTGAATATTTATGATAAACTCCTTAAGTAGCTGAACACCTGAATTCTGTTTCCCGTTGTATTTTCTGGGAGTTAAGGGGTTTTAAGTACTAACTGAAAACAAGAAGTGCTCTGATTGTTCAGGTACTGATGAAAACAAAGGCATTTGCTCCTGAGTTTCTGTTAGAGCTGATGACTAACAGAGAAGTCGGTCGTAGTTTGGAGTCTATAAGTTTTGTCTCAGTACCTAGTACATACAGAAAAGGCACTAAAAGAGAGAAGAATTCAAACCATTTTTTATAGTGTAGTCTTTCAGAGATGATAAGCTAAATGCATTTTTCTTAAAATAATACCAAAGGAAATGAAAATATCTTACCTGTGACAGCTGGCAGTTGCTCTGCACTGAATCTCACATTTTCAAACACAGAGAAGAGAGTGAATGTGTATCTGGTTCCAACAATGAGAGATGAGACTGTGTAAATTACTGGTCCATCTCCATCTGGTGCAGTGATGTTTATCTCTCTGCCGTTAAACTGGAGAACAAAACTGATGCTGTTGTTGATCTTGTTCCACTGCAGAGTGATGCTGGACTCATTTTGTGTCAATACGCTGAAGGGTTGAGGTTCTAACACACACAGACCCAATATTACAATATAAAGCCTTAGTTTTACCAAACATAAAACGTATGTTTCACATTGTCTTTGTTTAAGGACATAACTATAATTTATAAAAATGAGTGAATAGCGGGTTATGTGTGCAAATACATATTGAAATTACCTAGTTGTAAAAGGAAAACGGTAACACTTTATTTGAAGGGGGGTTAATAAGACTGTCATGACACTTTCATAAACATGACAT